CGCAGCCTGGAGAGGATTGTCAGGAAAAGGCCATTCAAAAGTGTTGGGGACTTTTACAAGGAGTGGACTGAGGCTGGAGTCAGTGCATCAAGAGCCACCACACACACACAGACAGATGGATCCTGGACATGGGCTTCAAATGTCATATTCCTCTTGTTAAGCCACTCCTGAACAACAAACAAGCATCTTACCTGGGCTAAAGAAAAACAGACCTGGTCTGTTGCTCAGTGGTCGAAAGTCCTCTTTTCTGATGAGAGCAACTTTTGCATCTCATTTGGAAACCAAGGACCCAGAGTATGGAGGAAGAATGGAGAGGCACACACTGCAAGATGCTTGAAGTCCAGTGTTAAGTTTCCACAGTCTGTGTTGATTTATGGAGCCATGTCATCTGCTGGTGTTGTTCCATTGTGCTTCATTAAGTCCAGGTTCAACACAGCCATCTACCAGGAGATTTTGGAGCACTTCATGCTTCCTTCCGCGGACGAGCTTTATGGGGATGCGGACCTCATTTTCTAGCAGGACTTGACACCTGCCCACACTGCCAAAAGCAACAAAACCTGGTTCAATGACCGTGGGATTACTGTGCTTGATTGGCCAGCAAACTCGCCTGACCTGAACCCCATAGAGAATCTATGGGGCATTGCCAAGAGAAAGATGAGAGACATGAGACCGAACAATGCAGAAGAGGTAAAGGCCACTATTGAAGCATCCTGGTCTTCCATAATACCTCAGCAGTGCCACAGACTGATAGCTTCCATGCCATGCTGCATTGAGACAGTAATTGCTGCAAAAGGGGCCCAAACCAAGTACTGAGTACATATGCATGCTTTTACTTTTCAGAGGTCCGATATTGTTCTATGTACAATCCTTGTTTTATTGATTGCATGTAATATTCTAATTTTCTGAGATTGTGGATTTGGGGTTTTCATGAGCTGTAAACCATAATCATCACAATTATGACAAATCACGGCTTGAACTTTCTTGCTTTGCATGTAATGAGTCTATCTCATATATTAGTTTCACCTTTCAAGTTTCATTACTGAAATAAATTAACTTTTGCATGATATTCTAATTTTTCGAGTTTCACCTGTATATGCAGTAAAGCATGCTTGTTATACTCACTGTGGAACCTAAGGGGTTAATCCTCTGCATTGTGTAAAAACGCTGTTTGATCCTGACTTCTCTGATCCTCCCCTTCTTCCAGTGTCCCCCTCTTATCTCCTGATAAGACATATCATGTGGAGACACTCTGCACATGCTCAGTTTGCTACAGAGGTATTTTTTTTCTTGGGAGAGTGCATGTGATCAGCACAGGACCAATCAGCACTATCCAGACAGAGATCAGGGGTTCTTCATCCTCCTAGAGCAGAATGAAAACTCCTCCTACAAGCTTTAACCAGTGCTCGGCTGGACAGTGATAGAAGTCACAAGACTGCTATATACTGCTGATGAGAAAAGGTATTTAGCAGTTTATATTTGCTAAAATAATTGCACTTCCATGTTCTGTGTACTGTGGGAGACCAGATATAGTGAATGCAGGGTCCTTGGTTTAGTAACACTTTAATATGTATGCCCCTCAAACAATACTGTGTAATACTTGAGTAGGTGGCAAATCTTACAGCCTGCCCATATAGGGAGCAGGACCGGTTCAGCTTATCTCTGGAAAAAAATGATAAGCAGGACATAACATTGCAATATGGATGTTCAAATTTTACTTGATTTATATCTCACTAGGTCACCTTCAGTTTTTTTGTGTAGGTGACTTAGCGGACTACTTTTAAAGGAATAGCTTTTTGGTCACAATTCTTACGCTGCATTGTGAGGCCTTAACCTGGGCAGTTTGTTGCGCTTTTATTTTTTTGCTTTTTCTTTTACAAAGAAAGCAGGTCTAGAAACCCTTTGCTGCTAAATTTGTACTGGAGACAAAACTTGCTGATGCAACTTACTTACTTATGTCTTATGGCATTGCTGCCTTTATCATATTGCCAGATTTGCCACATCTAAAAGGGACTTCACCCTTTTAGTATGACTGTCCTATTCCTAGTTTTATTTCCTACACTGCTTTGTCTGTTTCAGTTAACAGCTTTGGTTGAACTCTGGATCATTAATTATTAGCACCTGCCTGTTATATTTGTATAATTAGATTAAAAATCTAAAAGCATTTGCAAGCCTTATATCCTGTGGTTCCTATATAGCCACATATAACCAACAATATATGAATCACCTTATGTGAAAAGTTAACAAAAATATAGATGAATAAAAAGTCTTTTGTATCCAGAGATTTGTTGATCACTATTTATAGTGGGATTAAACCTAAAATAAAAAAATACATAAATGAACAAAACACTGACAGGTAGGATTTTTATGATAGAAAAAGAGGGCCTATTGGTCTCTTCTCTCTGCCTGTCGCATATGCACATTTCAGCCTACAATTATGATGTGAATCCTGTGCGCATGTGTAGGAATGATATTGTGGCCTACCAAGTGAACAAAGAGTCAGAACCTGGAAGGAAGACTGGGAGAAGATGGTAGTGTGGGCTGACAGCGCAGCGTTGGAGGGAATCACTCGCCAGGTAAGTTTGCCCTAAAGTTCTAATACGCTGTGAATACTAGCACATTATGGCTAAAAGCTCCTGGGGCCCAGTAAAAAAAAGAATTTGTAGAAAAATGATTTACGCTTCAGTCCTTATTGTTTTTATAAATTTGATGTAGTGTTACTTGGTGGCCTTGAATTGAACATCACCTTGCAGCAAAAGTGTCTTCATTGTTATCCTTCACTTTCATTTTCAAAAAACACTCAAACTGCTCTACACCTCTGCTTGATAGACTCTCCAGCATTTTTAGACCCTAAATATTCAGGTCAAAATGCACTTCTATACGTCCAAATATTTCATCGGCTCATTCCCGACTTTCATTAGCATCTCAAAAAATGCAAGAGAAAACAAATCACCACATAGTCCATACTCAGGATCTTTTCAAGAACACTTCAAAACGCTTTGAGTGGAGGGACCTGAGCATGCACCAAGGAGATTACACAGAGTTAGGTCTAACATTGCTGGGGAGTTCATCAAAGCATGGGTGCAGGGCACAGCGCAGTGTTTTTTTTTTGTTTACCAGAGTGAAGGATAACAATAAAGACACTTTTGTTGCAAGGTGATGTTTCAATTATTGGACACTCAGATCCACTATATTGGCTTTATTAAAACAAAGAATTTATAGTGTTACCCAGGGCCCAACCCAGGACCTTGCATTCACTATATCTGGTCTCTCACAGTACACAGGACATGGAAATGTAATATTTCAGTAAATATAAATGGATAATTACCTTTTATCATCAGCTAATTACCTTTTATCATCAGCAGTATATAGCAGTCTTCTGACTTCTTTTAGTATCCGGCTGACAACTGGTTAATCTTGTAGGAGGAGTTTTCATTCTCTTCTGACTGTCCCATGAGGTTGCATGACCCCTGTCTTGACAGTGCTGATTGGCCCTGTGCTGATCACATGCACCCTCCCCAAAATAAAATAAAAAAATTCCCTAGCAATATACACCAAACTGAGGATGTACAGAGTGTCTCCTAAGGCTCGTACCATCAGCAGATGGACTGAGAAATGTGGAAGAAGAGGAGGATCATATAAGTCAGGATCAAACAGCGTTTTTACACAATGCAAGGGATTAACTCCTTAGGTTCTACAGTGAGTATAACAAGCATGCTTTACTGCATATACAGACTGATTTTACTGTTGTGGGTTTAGTAACACTTTGAATAGTGATAAACCAGACTCTGGATTCAAAAGACATTTTATACACTCATTTTTTACATTATTATGATTATATATATATATACATATATATATATATATATATATATATATATATATATATATATATATATATATTATGTTGTTTATAAGGATCTTGTTAATAACAACAAGAAAAGCAGTAAAATATATCACCTGCAGCCAGTCAAAACAGACCCCAGCAACAATAGATCTGCCTCAACAATATAGCCTTGCCAACAACAATAGATCTCAAAGCAGCCAGCATCAATAGACCCTTCCAGCAACATAGAACCCCCCAACAACAATATATCCCCAGTTAGCAACAATACACTTCCCCAGAACAAACCCCCCCCCCCCATATCAAAAAATTCCCCACAGCAACAATAAGCCCTTCAGCACACCCCACCAGCCCTTGTCTTTACATATATTCAGTGCTGGAACTGGGTTCCCCCTGTATATATATATATATGTGTGTGTGTGTGTGTGTATATATATATATATATATATATATATACATACACACATACACAGTATGGGTAGTTTATGAATCATAGGATAAAAGGCTTGCAAATGCACTTATGTTTTAATATAATTTCTTTGTGTGTGTTTTGCACAAATTTTTGATTACATATCATTTTTTTTTTATTAATTAAGCACTGGGCTATATGACTATTTTTGATTGTTAAGGGATTCTATTTCTTGACTCTTGGAAAGAGAAATGTATGGAAAAATGACAATCTAAGAAATACAGTATATATTATAGGTTTCACAAGTTTTTGCATGTCTCCCACCTTTGTTTTAGGTACAGTGAGGAAGATGAAAACCACATGTTGTAGAGCTACCCCAGTTTAACGAGTACAGCGTACGAACATCTTCTGCCTGCCCTGGCTGCTTGGGTGGTATTTTTGTTTTGTTTCCGCTCTTTTCTACTGCTAGATGGCAGACACCCAGTAATCAATAATTTGTACAATAGATTGTTCCTATTTAAATCTATAGTTATTAAATACACATTTTAACCGAATGAATATTTTTAACTTTAATTAACCCTGAGAAACCTATAGTAAATGAAAAGTCTGGAAAAGTCAAGCATGTACAGAAGCTCTAAAAAATCAATGACCAAAGCCCAGATATTCTTTCATTTCGGTCTTCATCCCTCAGTCATCCATATTACAATGGTAAATACGAATAACATTCTGCCATGCTGATTTTTGGGTTACCTGCAAATGTTTCACTATATTGACAACCTCACGGGTAGAATAAGGGTATGTTATAATTCCTTGGTCTGCCATTGTTCGCAATTCACCAAAGGCAGCTACTAATTTCTGCAGCACGGCATCAGGCACATTGGGTCCATACTGTCTCAACATAGCCAACTCAGATTGTGGTAGCGGATTATCCACTGCATGGCAGCTAAATATATCTCCTGTAAAACAACAGTCAGGCCAGAAAAGAAAATAAAGAAAGGCATTGACTAAAATTACTTTCGCAAGCAATTTACTATACAAATTATTTTCAATAACCATTTAATAACTGGGGGGGGGGGCTATAATTGATCAGAACCGAAGCAGTCTAAATCTGGAGCAGCTGTGGCAATTGTGCATGGTAACCAATCATATGCAGCTTGTTCAGTTAAGCTTTGAAAATGAAAGACAGAAGCTGATTGGCTGTCACACACAGATGCTCCAGGTTGTAGCTACTCCTGTTTTGATAAATCCATTTCATAGTATTTTTTATTGGTAATGTTGTCTCAGAGACTGTTCCTATTCTCAAAATGACCCCCTCCCACCATCAAGTAAAACAAATTATGTTGACAACCAATCCTTTTGCAGGAAACAGTATAATGGGACACCACATTGGCTTTTACATAATATTTATTTTAATAAAAAAAAGCACAGACTAACACTGAGATATGTGTGAAAGGGGTGGTGTGTAATGCCAGATGACATTTCAACAAAATTTGCCCCGCCTGTGCTGCCATACATGAAAAGTGGTGGGCCCCATTAAAATGTAGCTATAAAGCTTTGACATTTAAAAAGTATGCTTGCATGACAAACCTTTTAGTTTTATATACAGTAGGGAAGGGTGAAAACCCCCATTACTTTATTTTTTGCTGACTGGTCCTTTGAGGAGATTTCACTTTACTTCTAGTCCCAAAGATACAGGAAACAGGAGGAAATCATATAAAATCAGTGGGGAATTCTCTTTTAGACAGCTATCTTCTGATCTGGTATCTCATATGGGAAGATTTTGTTTGTATTTCTTCTCCAGTAACAAATGTAACCTTTTGGATTTTCTACCACTTTCTGTCTTGGTGACAGTATTCACAGAAAAACTAAATAGAAAGAATTAATTTCCCTAACGTGGACACAGGCAGCAATAATAACCTGTCAGGGCTTCTAACCCAACCCAATCCAAAACTACAGAAAAATGTCTTGACTATATAAACATAAACCCAGGTGCAGTTGTGGTGACCTTTTTTTTTTCCTGTTTCCTATCAGAAATAAAAATTTAAGGCCTCGTTCTCACAGCTGATCAGCAGCCCGGGACACAAACTGTCAATGTCCAGGGTCACTCATCTGTCCCTAATCACATGTAACACTTTGGATGTCAATTTAGAATCAAATAGGCGTGGCACCTTTGAGCTTGTATTGATCTGTAGGGGTGATTTTTTGCCAAGTACGACATTGATTGATTAACTGAGACCTAATATTTTCAATAACATTAATTTTGAGAGTCTTTTTTAAATGGAAAGTGTTACTTTTCTGCTAAAACAGCACTACTTTTAAAAGAGGCTACTGATATGGGAGCAAATTATGATATTCATATTTTTTGAAGCTGTAACTTACCTAAAGCACCAAAAAAATCATTTCCCAGAAAAGGGAACCCAGGTCTGTTAGCTAGCACAATCATTCTGAAATCAGGATGAATAGGGATCACATTATCTCTTCCTTTCCGTTCTAATGGATCTGGCAAGTATATAAAATATTTGTTGTTATACTGGTTTAGTGACTGTAATCAATGTAAAAGTTAAAGTAGATGTAAACCTACACACCAAAATCTCAAAAAAATGTAAGATGTTACTGTAATTTTAGAAGTAATGTAAAATATTTTAAAATGAGCAGCTTTTGTTAAAATAATACCTGTTGATCCTGCCACAAAGGTCCTTAAAAAGTGTAGATAAAAAGGCTTCTGCACACTGGATAGATGTCAAGTATCCATGTTTATTGCAGAACTGTCCACAGACACAAGAATGGCAGTCCCTGCTCTAGGGCTACCACTCTAACACTTTGAACAAAATCAGTAACAAAATCATGGCTTGATTGTAGAGATCACAACCCTAAGCATTACTGAACTATTGTTATTACTGCATTTAAATAGGGTCAGTGTTTTATGCAGCATATTATAATTTAGGAAAATAATCTGAATGCACATGTAACAAAAAACAAAGAGTGGGATAGCCTTCCCAGTCCACAGGAAATGGTGGACCAGCAAGCTCCAATCATAAAAAATACTCTACCATATGGAGTCTGCTGAAAATATGTTTTTTTATTTAAAGCACTTCACTAAATAATAACACATAGTTTCCACTTTAAAGCATGCATTATGGGTCCCATTGATGACTGTGATGCTTCTTGCATAAACATGTGAAGGGAAGGGAAAACAAACACACTTTGCACTGCATTCAGTGAACCAGTAGTGGTATTTAAAACATTTTAAATAAAATAACATACCAGCATTGTCACAAGAGAATAGGCATTAGTGCGGGGAACAGATTATTTCTGCTTACAAATACCATTAATAAAACATCTAATTTTTTTAAGGAATGGATATCATTTTCAGACTTCTTAAATAAATATTACTTGATTAAATAAAAGTGAATTGAACTGCCTTTAGAACATGATTTAGCATTGAAATTAAAGATGCCTCATGATCTGACCCTTCAGAATATTACTTAGCGACTGTTAATAGTTCATCAGTATCCCAATGAGTCACCAAATCCCTCATTTTTTCATTGCTATGTGCTCTGGCCACTGCCATCACAGACAATCACACACACTTAATTAAAAGAACGATTTCAGAGAAATCCTGGGATTTCACACTAATTCCAGAATACTCTACAAGGATTACTTTTTAAAAGCTGAAGTCTGTGTTAAGACAGATGAATGTTTACACATCATGGTAACTGTAACAGCATGTCCAAGGCAGAAAGAAAAGAAAGACTGGCAGTACAACTTTGGTCAGCAGTGCTTGGACATGTTCACTTAGATTTTAGTAATCATCTAGTAAAGTTTCCCAACTGTCATCCTGACATACCAAATAAGAAGAGGATTATTAATTGGTATCTGAATTCATTTCATGCTTAGACTGGTGTACAGCACACATTCCAGAGGTCTGACACAAGCCCATTAATGACTGCATATAAATAAAAAAAAAATAGGTGCAAAAAAAAGGGTTTTTTTACGTCGTTATGATGGCCTTGAAGTGGTGAAAAGGATGTGAAATGTAGGTAAGTGGATATAACACAGACTACAATCCTGTAAGGACTGAAAATAAATTCCAGTTCCAGACATACCTTTTACATTTTGGACAGAATGGGAGAGGGTTAAAAACTGCACCAGGTTTTTTTGTCATCTGCATCCCTGCTGGGGAGAATTTCTACGTGCATTCCTTGAGAACAGCTAGGGCCTTGTTTAATTTTGATCCTTAGACTGGCTAATGATTGCAAAGAGTGAGAGGGCCACATACAGCACAGAAATCACCAGTATGACTGCCTGTCTTAGGCAGGCCATAGACATTGTGAATGTCTTTCCTGCAACCACGGGTTTGCAGTTAAAATAGGTGCTAGCAATAACTGCATGTAAAATCAACTTGGGTACTTTCAGCATGCCCATAAGTGGTTTGAATCTCAGCCAGTTCCTGCTGAACCGGCTGAGATTCGAACCGTCTGTGGTCGGCTTTAAATGTTTAACATAGAGATAAGTTAATAGCACCTATACAATACTTACTGGCTACAAGTCGTCTCCCATCTGACAGGATCATCTCTCCACTTTCTACCAAGGTTTTCAGAATACAGGTTACATTTGTGGGAGCCTTGTCAGCCTCATCTATAACCAAGATGTGGCCTTTTTTAACAGCCTTAACCTATAAATAAAACATAGAATTGTAAATAAACAACAAGCATGTTAAAAGATATTTTGTCCTAATCAAATATTGCCACTACTGGGTAAAGCACCCTCTGAACGATTTGTTTTTACAACAGTGGATGTTTATTGTAAAAGGAAAATGAAAGAACATTACAGCTGAAATCCAAACCACAGTAGTTACGAAGCAATAACCTAATAGTACCGCATCTGAATCAATTCGAGGGTGAGACCCAGGGTGCAGGGAACCCATCAAAAGCAGACAACTGAAAAATTAAGGGAAAGGAGAGGAAGGAAAGGGTGAGCAGGGGGAAGGGGGAGAGAGAACAGGAAGAAGGGTGGAAAAAGGTGGGAGGGGAGGGAGAGGAAGATAAGAAGGAGATGCTACCATAAACCCCCATTTAAAGATCACAACAGAGGGCAGTGGGCCAAGTATTCATATTGTAGATCCTTAGTGAGATGTCCAAGGGAGCCATACCTTATCGTATTTCCAGGTACAGCCCCCCCTTTAACATAGGAAGCTTGTACATTGAAAGGGCCGCATCTACAGCTGATTCCCAAGACGATGTCACAGGAGGGTCCCCAGAGGTCCACTTTAATAGAATCTCTTTTTTGGCATAATACAGGAGATAGGGTATCAACAATTTCAAGTGGTGGGGTCCTTGTACATCACCATGAAGCCCCAGCAATGCCAAGGAAGGGGAAAGGGGCAGGGACAGCTGCAACCGTACATTGTTCAAATAAAAAACATCAGACCAAAATGGGACAATTCTAGTGCATGTCCAGTACACGTGTAAAAAGGTTCCCGGATATAGCCAGCAATGAGGGCAAATAGGATCCCATTCCGGGTATACCTGGGAAAGCCTCAGGGTGATGTAGTAAACCCTATGTAAAAACTTAACCTGTATAAGTTTATCCCTGCAGGAAATAACCAACTTTGGACCCTGTTCCAAAGCCTCCATCCAGTCCTCCTCATCCAAAGAAGGGATATCTTCCTTCCATGTGGTCCACAACTTCTCAATCTTGGGGAAATGAATGCCAAGAAATATTCCATAGAGGACAGACAATGGATTTTTTTAAGTTGCCCTGAGTCAGCAGTTCTTCAAAGGGGCTTGGCTGCATGTCTCAGTTGGAAGCACCGGAAAAGCATCCCCCGTGGGAGATGGAATTTGTGGGATAACTGTGAGAATGGTAGTATACCCCAGAGGGCATAACATCAGCTAGGGTCCTAATACCATATCTCACCCAGAACCATGGGTCAGGAATGGAATGGAAGAGAGAAAGCGCAGGATTCCTCCAAAGGGGTTGAGCTGGGGAAATAGGTCAGGCTGCAAAAATTGCCATCTAGCCAATGCCCTTATTTGTAACGTAGCTTGTGTCAGCTCTGGAATAGTATCATAAGCTCTACGTTCCCAGTAAGGCACTTTATGAAGATCAGCTAGGGATCCTAAGCAGGCTGCTTCGAAACAGACAGCAGCATTGGACCTAAAGCCCCTAAACCACCAATACAACGACACCAGCATTGCCACCCAATAGTGTGTTTGAAAGTTTGGGATGGCCAGACCCCCCCCCCCCCCCCCCATAGTGGCAGGGAATTGCAATGTAGATTTTGCAAAGCGGGGAAGGGCACCTCCAGATAAAGGGGATCACACAGGAAAATATCTCCTTAAAGAGGGATCCAGATTGGGCAGTTAGGAAAGATATAGTTGAACCTGGGCAGAATCATCATCTTCAATATAATAATACGTCCTATTATATTTAAAGGAAAAGCTGACCAATTCTGACACTATCCTCGCAAGAGGGAAAGGAGAGGAGAGAGATTGCGGCCAAAAAATGGTTTACATCACCCTCTGAATGATTTAATGGTCATATACAGTAAGTACATTTAATTCACAAGCACTTTAAATATGCAGATACACTATATTGCCGAAAGTATCATTGGATTCAGGTGTTCCAATTACCTCCAAGGCCACAGGTGTATAAAACCAAGCACCTTGGCATGCAGACTGCTTCTACAAACAATTGTGAAAGAATGGGTCGCTCTCAAGAGCTCAGCGAATTCAAACGTGGTACCGTGATAGGTTGCCACCTGTGTAATAAGTCTATACATGAAACTGCTTTGCTACTAAATATGCCATGGTCATCTCTTAGTGGTATTATAACAAAGTGGAAGCAACTGTGAACAATGGCAACTCACCCACAAAATGGTAGGCTGCGCAAAATGACAGAGTGGGGTCAGTGCATGCACTGGAAACCAAATACCACCATGAGGATTCCCTGTGGCAGCAATTTTGGAAAAGGTGCAGGGACTTTTTCCCTGCATGAATGGGCTGCAATGTCCACAATAGAGCGGCTGCAGGGAAACTGAAAAAATGTGAGCCTATTGTTAGGCATTCTCACTAAACACCTGTAAGACATAAAAGAGGGTAGGCCAAAACTCCAAATTCCTAGCTTTCCAGCTCAGTGTCTCAAAGTATTGAGTCCAGGAAACAAGCATTTTCAGAAAAAAGCTACGGTAGCTTTTACTTTTCTCTTAGCACAGGATTCCTTTCTGGAATTAAGTGCACCAGCATCTGTAGTTTTTAGAGCTGTTACATGCATGCACTACCATAGTTCAAACACCTCTAATTTTAGATGCTGATAAGAGCTATCTACTATAAACTTTCAAAGCGTACATTTTTACATTCCAATTTTTTTTTCATAGAAAGAAGAAAAACAAGGTTAATTTTAAAAACATTAATTTCTTATTGCGGCAGCTCATTTGTCATCTCCCAAGTGTGGTATGAACTCCCATACCTTTCAATATAAATACATACCAGAGGTGAGTCTTCATATACTATTATACCGTCTTTCACAGATGGCTGCAGCGTTAGGCTCTGCACAGTTGTATCCCTGCAGACAGAATTACAAATTGATGATTGAACCAAAAAGTGCTAATTAGTGACAAATGTATTGAATAATAACAGTAACTAAACTGTATGGATGACTTCACACACAACCCTGCTTGTCTAAAATAAAACACTATAGAAACTCTGTTTGACAAGACTCACACATCCATAAATCTGAGATTTTTAAACTACCACAGCAGAAGCACTTGGTAGATTAATGCATACCTGTAATGGATGAGGAAATAGATATTTTCATTTTCAGCGCAACAAATAACTCCTCAAATTCTTGTGTATACCAGTGCTGCTGACACTTACATGCGTTTCCACACACAAAAGATATGTCATAAAATAGTGCCACGCATATAGCTCTATAACCTCATATATGAATTAAAGCATCCAAACCATGTGATTATGCAACAACGGTGAATACAACTTAAAAGTCCATAATGTGTGCTTGATCTGTGCCTTTATATTTGCGCTTTATTGCTTATGTGTGTGTATATATATATATATATATATATATATATACACATACACACAGTTGTGTTCAAAATAATAGCAGTCAGGCATCACTAACCTGATCAATCACTGTTTTTGGTAGAAATGATATTTCTACATGGCAATAATTTACTAGCAGGTGTAGTAGAGTAATAGAAAAATCCAACGACCCAACAGTCATGACATGCATGCTGCTGATTCTGTGTAATTGAATCACTAATTGAAAGGAGCATGTTCAAAATAATAGCAGTGTGGAGTTCTATTAGTGAGGTCATTCATTCTTTGAAAAACAGGTGGCAATTATTGCCCTTATTTAAGGAAGGAAGGCAGGCAGCAAATGTTGTACATGCTGGTTACAGTGCATTTCTCTCTAAAATTCTGAGGAAAATGGGTCGTTCCAGACATTGTTCAGAAGAACAGCGTACCTTGATTAAAAAGTTGATAGGAGAGGGGAAAAAAACATATAAAGAAGTGCAGAAAATGATAGGCTGCTCAGCTAAAATGATCGCAAATGCTTTAAAATGGCAACCAAAACCTGAAAGACGTGGAAGAAAGCGAAAAACTAACATTCGAATGGATAGAAGAATAGCCAAAATGGCAAGGACTCAGCCAACAATCAGCTCCAGGAAGATCAAAGAAGGTCTAACGTTACCTGTGAGTACTGTTACAATTAGAAGATGCCTATGAAGAAGCCAAGCTATCTGCAAGAAGCCCCCGCAAAATCCCACTGTTGAAAAAAAGACATGTGCTGAAGAGGTTACAATTTGCCAAAGAGCACATTGACTGGCCTAAAGAGAAATGGCGCAACATTTTGTGGACTGATGAAAGATTGTTCTTTTTGGGTCTAGTGGCTGGAGACAGTTTGACAGATGACCCCCAAACACTGAATTCAAGCCACAGTACACTGTGAAGACAGTGAAGCATGGTTGTGCAAGCATCATGATATGGGGATGTTTCCCATACTACGGTGTTGGGCCTATTTATCGCATACCAGGGATCATGGATCAGTTTGAATGCATCAAAATACTTGAAGAGGTCATGCTGCCTTATGCTGAAGAGGAAATGCCCTTGAAATGGGTGTTCCAACAAGACAACGACCCCAAACACACCAGTAAACGTGCAACATCTTGCTTCCAGACCAACAAGATTGACATTATGGAGTGGCCAGCCCAATCCCCGGATCTTAATCCAATAGAAAACTTGTGGGGTGACATCAAAAATGCAGTTTCTGAGGCAAAACCAAGAAATAGAGAACTGTGGAATGTAGTCCAATCATCCTGGGCTGGAATACCTGTTCACAGGTGACAGAAGTTGGTTGACTCCATGCAACACAGATGTACAGCAGTTCTCAGACACAGTGCTTATACAACTAAATATTAATTAAGTGATTCAAATGACAGCAAAATCTTTGAACATTTTTCAGTTTATATAGTGAATGTTTGAGTTTGTAAAGAAGAATACAAACACTGCTATTTTTTTGAACAGTCTAATCACTTTTCTTCAATTTGTTTAGAGGAAGAACAACACAAATTTGATATATTTTTCTTCATGTGTTGATTTGGAATAGAATGTGTAGTGTTCCCAATGCATTTGTGTGTATGGAAAAAAAGCTATTGAAAGGATTTTGAGCTTTATTCACTTTTTTCAACACACTGCTATTATTTTGAACACAACTGTATATACAGTCAGGTCCATAAATATTGGGACATTGACACAATTCTAACATTTTTGGCTCTATACACCACCACAATGGATTTGAAATGAAACGAACAAGATGTGCTTTAACTGCAGACTGTCAGCTTTAATTTGAGGGTATTGACATCCAAATCAGGTGAACGGTGTAGGAATTACAACAGTATTCATAGGTGCCTCCCACTTGTTAAGGGACCAAAAGTAATGGGACAGAATAATAATCATAAATCAAACTTTCACTTTTTAATACTTTGTTGCAAATCCTTTGCAGTCAATTACAGCCTGAAGTGTGGAACGCATAGACATCACCAGACGCTGGGTTTCATCCCTGGTGATGCTCTGCCAGGCCTCTACTGCAACTGTCTTCAGTTCCTGCTTGTTCTTGGGGCATTTTCCCATCAGTTTTGTCTTCAGCAAGTGAAATGCATGCTCAATCGGATTCAGGTCAGGTGATTGACTTGGCCATTGCATAACATTCCATTTCTTTCCCTTACAAAACTCTTTGGCTGCTTTTGCAGTCTGCTTTGGGTCATTGTCCATCTGCACTGTGAAGCGGCGTCCAATGAGTTGTGAAGCATTTGGCTAAATATGAGCAGATAATATTCCCGAAACACTTCAGAATTCATCCTGCTGCTTTTGTCAGCAGTCACATCATCAATAAATACAAGAGAACCAGTTCCATTGGCAGCCATACATGCCCACGCCATGACACTACCACCACCATGCTTCACTGATGAGGTGGTATGCTTAGGATCATGAGCAGTTCCTTTCCTTCTCCATACTCTTCTCTTCCCATCACTCTGGTACAAGTTGATCTCGGTCTCATCTGTCCATAGGATGTTGTTCCAGAACTGTGAAGGCTTTTTTACATGTCGTTTGGCAAACTCTAATCTGGCCTTCCTGTTTTTGAGGCTCACCAATGGTTTCCATCTTGTGGTGAACCCTCTGTATTCACTCTGGTGAAGTCCTCTCTTGATTGTTGACTTTGACACACATACACCTACCTCCTGGAGAGTGTTCTCGATCTGGCCAACTGTTGTGAAGGGTGTTTTCTTCACCAGGGAAAGACTTCTTCGGTCATCCACCACAGATGTTTTCCGTGGTCTTCCGGGTCTTTTGGTGTTGCTGAGCTCACCGGTGCGTTCCTTCTTTTTAAGAATGTTCCAAACAGTTGTTTTGGCCACGCCTAATGTTTTTGCTATCTCTCTGATGGGTTTGTTTTGTTTTTTCAGCCTAATGATGGCTTGCTTCACTGATAGTGAAAGCTCTTTGGATCTTATCTTGACAGTTGACAGCAACAGATTCCAAATGCAAATAGCACACTTGAAATGAACTCTGGACCTTTTATCTGCTCATTGTAATTGGGATAATGAGAGAATAACACACACCTGGTCATGGAACAGCTGAGAAGCCAATTGTCCCATTACTTTTGGTCCCTTAACAAGTGGGAGGCACATATGCAAACTGTTGTAATTCCTACACCGTTCACCTGATTTGGATGTAAATACCCTCAAATTATAGCTGACAGTCTGCAGTTAAAGCACATCTTGTTTGTTTCATTTCAAATCAATTGTGGTGGTGTATAGAGCCAAAAATGTTAGAATTGTGTCGATGTCCCAATATTTATGGACCTGACTGTATATAAGCTATAAAGAGCACCTGTTTTGTGAACGAATCATAAAGGCAAGGATCAAGCACACATTATTGATTTTTAAGTTGTATTCAGTGTATTCACCAATGTTGCATAATCACATGATTTGGATGCTTTAATTCATACATGAGGTTATAGAGATATATGCGCTGCACTATTTTATGACATTTTCAGCAGCCTGCTTGCTTATATGCCACCTCCTCACTTTTCCCTAGCAACTGCAGTTATTCCACACTTCCGGATGTGTGGATCACCTGTTTCCTCGTTTCATGCTATTTCACCAGTTTGTACATTACTACAGGAAATACAAGCAGGCCGCAGAAGCTTTTGGGTGCAGTAGGGGAAACCAGGTATTTGAAGAATCCAAATGGTCAAATATTTTTAGCAGCTGGGGGGACAGGAAGAGGTAGCATATCAATAACAGGTATTCTATAACATACAAAATGCCCCGGACAGGGTCCTTTTAAGGGAAATGCACTCCACAGTGGTCAAGGATCTTGGAAGATGAGTCCTCTACTTAGGTTTGAAAACTTAACACAATTAAACATGTGCTTTGATCTTATGACTCTAGGGTTTTTTTTCTGCTTGGAATGTGACATACAGAACTCAATTGATGCTCGGTCTAGAATTGGTGGAAAAAAAAAAAAAAGTTAAAGCAGTATTAAACCTAAAACCAAAAATGTAGTATGTTACAGCTTAACAATCATTAGATGTGGGCTGCACTAGTTTTGTTATTTTAGACTTTTTCCCTCTGTTTTCATCTGGTGATCTGGCCAGTAACATACCTCCTGTATTAGAGTGCCCTCATTCTGGATGAGCAAGGAAAGGGGGCACATTTGGTCAGCAGCATTGTCAGTCTAGAGGGAGGGGAGCATTAGATAGACTAGCAGCTTTAAATACATTAAAAAATTTAATCTAAACTCAAGCTAATATTTTATATTTTATAAGCAGCTACAGAAACAGTTTTTTTTTTTTCGTTTTGGGATAAAGGTTTTTCATAAATAAATAAAAGCTGATCATTGAAAAAGAGGGACTAAGCGAGCGCTGCAAAACACAAAGCAGCTGAAACACCAAAGGTAACCATAAACCTCCTAGGGATAAATAAACTTAAAAATGGATGCAGCACTAATAACAAATAAATATATGCGAAAGTGCTTGATACA